CGGGCGACCCTGGGAGGAGGCGGCGCGGCGCGCGGGCCGGCAGGGCCCTGCCTGGGCCCCGGCGGGCCGACGCGCGGGACGGCGTGGGGGAAGTGGGCACGGGGCGGCGGCGAATCTGGAGGCGACACGTGGCGGCGGAGCTGAGGTGGCATGCCGGGATTGGCCGGGGTGAGGTGGCGGCGGCGGTGGACGTGTCCGGCGCGGGCGGACGCGTCCGGCGCGGCGCGGAGGGGAAAAATTAGGGTTTCGGGGGAAAATCATCCGAAAATGGAGAGGGGAAGACGTTTTTATAGGTGGAGGGAGCTAGGAGAGTCCAAATGAGGAGCGGTTTTCGGCCACGCGATCGTGATCGAACGACCGAGAGCATGGAGGGGAGTTTGCTGGGTTTTGGGCCACTTTGGAGGGGGTGTTGGGCTGCAAAGACAAAGTGGCTTTTACGGTTACCCGGTTAACCGTTGGAGTACCAAACGACCTCCAAATGGCACGAATTTGACAGGCGGTTTACCGATGGTATACCAAGGCCACTTGGCAAGACTCGGGCCATTCCGAAAAAGTTTAGCACCCACTCACAACGAGAGATGAAAGGGGAACGCCGGGGGGCATAGGAGCGCCGGATTGCAAAACGGACAACGGGTAGGGGCCTTGAGATTAGTCTGTTTGTTGAGAAAACATTGCAAACTAACATTAGTGTGGATATACTATGCTAGAGCAGAAAATCAATCTCTTCTACTCCCTCCATTCTCATTATATTTTTGGACATCAGTGCGATATCATGTGTACATGTTTTTTCAATTTACCTTTCCTGCTTAGTTGTTAATGAAATCTATTAAATACGTGATAACATGAAGGTTGTTTCGAATTCTGAAGTGTTATAGTGTGTATACTATTAATGCAGACTAGTTTCTCTTCATTGTTCATGAAGCCTGACAAGTTCTTGATCATGCATGACCTGGTGCATGATTTCGCAAGATCAGTTCTGGCTAATGAAATTAACATAGAGAGTCCTTCCTGCCGATATGCATGGCTGACAGATCATACAAAGCTATTCAAGTCATCAATGGATCCACTTGCCAATTTATTTAAGTCATCAGTGGATCCACTCACCAAGATAAGGGCACTGCATTTTATCGACCGTGGCTACTTGAAGCTTCATGCTGAAGCATTATCAGGAGCTAAATGCCTATGTGTCTTGGATTTAAGCAGATGTTTTGTACTCCCTCCGTAAACTAATATAAGAGCGTTTAGATTACTAAAGTAGTGATCTAAACACTCTTATATTAGTTTACGGAGGGAGTACAAGAGTTGCCTGATTCTATTGGTCAACTAAAACAGTTGAGGTATCTCGATGCTTCATGGAACCTCGATGTTACTGAATCTTCTGAATACCAAGATCCGCCAGAGTCTATAATGATACTGAAAGCTCTGGGTTCCCTTAACAAACTCCAATATTTGAATTTATCATTCCGCCAAAGACCCATAGGGCTGCCAGAGGTCATCAGCAAACTCACGGAACTCAGGTATTTGAATACATCATTTTGTGAGGGTTATTATTTATTGGACATCCCATCAGCAAACCAAAGTTTCATTGACTGTATCGGCACCCTTCCCAATCTGGAGTAGCTGGACATGTCTTGGAATGGCTATGTTTTTTGTGTGCCTGAAAGTTTTAGCAGACTAAAGAGGCTGAACCTCTCCAGCTGCAATCAGATTTCTAGCCTTCCAGAAAATGTGGGGAAAGTGGATATTCCAAGTTTAACATATTGGCTAAACTTGAGAATCTGGAAATATACGATTGCCCCAACTTGAGGTTTAAACTGAGTCTGCCTAGAGCAGTGTACTGGTATATACACAGGTCTGACAATGTGCTATCATGGGGACAGTGTGCCTGGAACACAGCTGCTTCCTCCTCATCTTGTCCTGTGAGTCAACTTAAAGTTGACTCAGAGTTGCCTTTGTGCCATTGGAGTTTGCTTCACCAGCTACCTGGTCTTCGCGATTTAGCTATCTACTGTTGCAAGGATCTGACCATCCCATCATGGAGGACCCGATCCTTCACCTCCCTCGAATCACTGTTGCTATATGGATATCATATTCATAAATTGCCAGATTGGTTGGGTGAGCTCACTTCTCTTCGGCGCCTGGATTTATGCCTGGGCAACCTACAGGAATTGCATAAGAACATGAGGCAACTTACACAGCTGCAATCGCTCAGTCTGGACCACTGCAATAAGTTGACATCACTACCGCAATGGTTAGGAGAACTCACCTTGCTCAAGACACTTAAGCTCTATGGTTGCAATGGCATCATTTCTTTACCGGAGAGCGCAATCACCAACCTCCAAGTGTAAAAGTAGCGTGAAGCGTATGCCTTAGAAGGGACGCGCTGCGTGTTTATATAGGCACATAGATTACAGGGTTTGGTTGTTAGGTAGTTGCTAGATTGATCTCCAAGTAATGATCTATACAAGAGATATATGAGATCATCTATAACTACTCTAACAACCGGATTACAACACGCAACGCAATTCTTATCTCGTATGTACGGTTTATACACATACCATACATACGTTTATAATATACACTTTAACACGCCCCCTCAATCACAATTTCACCAAGTTGAGGTTGTTCTTGAACTCTTCCAACTTGCTCCATGACAGGGCCTTGGCAAACCCATCTGCAACTTGATCATTTGTAGAGATGAATGGTATGTCTAGTAGCTTCTTGGCTACTCTTTCACGAACAAAGTGATAATCAACCTCAATGTGTTTTGTCCTTGCATGGAACACTGGATTTGCTGATAGATAAGTAGCACCAATGTTATCACACCATAAGCGTGCAACAGAGGAGTGTTTTATGCCAAGTTCATTGAGCAATGCTTGAACCCATATTAACTCAGCTGTTGCATTAGCCAAAGCTTTATATTCAACTTCAGTGCTAGATCTTGACATAGTTGCTTGCTTCCTTGCACTCCACGATATAAGGTTTGGTCCAAAAAAAACTACAAAGCCTCCTGTAGATCTTCTGTCATCAGGACAGCTTGCCCAATCTGCATCAGAGAAGGCACTTACCAAAGTTGAGGTTGATTTTGTGAATTTTAACCCTGTACTCATAGTACCTCTGAGATATCTCAAAATCCTTTTAACTGCAGTCCAATGTTGAAGAGTAGGAGCATGCAAAAACTGGCATACTTTGTTGACAGGAAAACATATGTCAGGTCTTGTAAGTGTTAAGTATTGCAGAGCACCCACAACACTTCTATAATTAGTAGCTGCTTCGGCTCCCAAAAGCTCACCCTCTTCTTTTGACAATTTTTCAGTAGTTGAAAGAGGCATATTTGAAATTTTACAATTCATCATACCTGATCTTTTCAGTATATCTGACACATACTTTTCTTGACTTAGAAGTATACCATCTGTTACCTTGTTTACTTCTATGCCCAAGAAGTAATGCAAGTCACCAAGATCTTTTAGAGCAAAATCCTTCTTAAGATCTTCTAATAGTGCATTAGTTGCTTCCTGTGATGAGCTAGCCACAATTATGTCATCAACATATACCAACATAAAAATGATCACTTTGCCTCTTTTATAGAAGAAGAGAGATGTATCTGCCTTTGAGGGTCAAAAACCAAGCCTTTGAAGCTTTACACTCAACCTAGAGTACCATGCTCTAGGCGCCTGTTTTAAGCCATATAAAGCTTTATCAAGTTTGCAAACATAATGTTGCTTGCCTTTTACCTCATACCCAGGTGGTTGTTTCATGTAAACTTCCTCCTCTAGAACGCCATGAAGGAACACATTCTGCACATCCAATTGACGAAGACTCCAATTGTTTGATACTGCAACAGAGAGAACAAGTCTGACAGTAGCTGCTTTAACAACGGGGCTAAAAGTATCCTCATAATCTATTCCATATCTTTGTTTGAAACCTTTTGCCACTAGTCTAGCCTTGTACCTGTCTATCTCTCCATTAGCTTTCCGTTTAATTCTATAAACCCATTTACAATCAATGATATTTCTCCCCCTTGCTGGAGGGACTAGGTGCCAAGTCCTATTGTGAACAAGAGCATTATATTCCTCATCCATAGCATTTTTCCAATTTTTACTTTCAAAAGCCTCACTATTGTTGGGTCCACCCGTGACAGCAAGACCTCCAAAACGCTTGTCATACCTGACCGTACCATCAGTACGAATTTTGGGTTTGGCAACTCCATGTTGTGACCGTGTTCTCAGCGCTGGCACAGAAACTGCAGCAGAATTGCGTGGCGCAGAGGATCCGGCGGAGTCCGAGGCAGCAGCGCGCGATCCAACAACACCCGATCCAAGGCGGATGCTGTCGGAGGCTGGCGGCGGCGCACCTGCGCCCGTTCCCGCGTCTGTATCGGGCTGGGCCACTTGGCGAGGCCCAGTTGGTTGGTTGGCGGAGTCGAGGGGCCGCCCGGTCGGGCGCGTCGACGCAGATGGCGAGGCATATGGCCCACCACCAGTATGGGGCCCGCCACGAGACGTCGCTGTTCCGCCCGCTGGTCCGCAGGGAGACGCGTGGCCGCCTGGCGATGGCCCGCCCGGCCCCGAGGCGGATACGCCGCCACTGCCTGGCGCGGCAGGCGAGGGCGGATCGCCTTCGGGATCGCTGCCATCAGAATCTGGTGCAGCACCTGGATCCTCCTCGTGTTCTGTGTTTGTCTCTTGTTGCTGCATAAAATCATGACACGAAATAGGATTTCCACCAAAATTTATAGCAGGATTTTCATGAAAATTACCCGAAGGATCATTAGCTAGATGTTCGTCCCCCTGATCAACAGAAGTAGGCAAGGTGTTTTCGGAAAGGAGAAGAACTTCAGATCGAATGAGAGCACCGGCATTTGGATTGAGAGCAGAAAATGGAAAGACTGTATCGTCAAACACAACATCTCGTGAGATGTAAACACGTCCAGCAGCGATGTCTAAGCACTTAAAACCCTTGTGAAGATTGCTATAACCAAGAAACACACATTGCTTTGATCGAAATTCTAGCTTGTGAGAATTAAAGGGACAGAGATTAGGCCAACAGGCACAACCAAAGGTGCGAAGAGCATGGTAGTTTGGTTTCTCATGAAAGAGTTTTTCCAAAGGTGTTTCAAGGTTTATGACTTTGCTAGGGGTACGGTTTATCAAGTATTTGGCAGCGATGAATGCTTCATCCCAGAACTTCAAGGGCATGGATGCATGTGCTAGGAGGGAGAGACCAACTTCGACGATATGACGATGTTTTCGCTCGGCAGAGCCGTTTTGCTGATGAGCGTGAGGGCAAGAAACATGGTGTGTGATGCCAATTTGACGAAAGAAGGAATTTAGTCGGTCATACTCACCACCCCAATCTGTTTGCATGGTGATGATTTTGCGATCAAAGAGTCTCTCAACAAGTGCTTGAAATTCATGAAACACTTTAAAAACCTCAGATCTATGTTTTAGAAGAAATATCCAGGTGAACTTGCTGTAATCATCGATAAAACTCACATAATAATTCTTCTTATTTATAGAATCACGGGCAGGCCCCCATACCACCGGCGGAGCTATGTGCATTCTTGCAGGTGCCATGGCCTCCCCAACCTTGGCAAATTTAGTGAAGAAATTTTTTTACAGAGAGATTTAGATTGGAAAAATAGACATATTTTCCACTGTCTTTTCTCTTTGGCCCCCCCAATCTTCTTGGTCTAGCTCCGCCACTGCCCCATACATCAGAAAAAATAAGCTCTAAAGGAGCGTTCGAAGTGCTACTAGAAAGCGGATACGGGAGTTGGTGACTTTTGCCTTTGTGGCATGCATCACACACTCCTTCCTTATTCAACTCTTGATTGGAAAAAGGAATTTTATTCTGCCTAAGAACGTGTTGGACGATTTGCAAAGATGGATGACCTAATCTAGTGTGCCACCTTGAAGGAGATATCTTGGTGGCGCCGAAAGCTTGCCTGCCCGAGTGCAACGAAGCTGATGATAGGGGATAGAGGCCGGCTCTACACCTGCCTTGGAGGAGGGTGCTCCTCGTTGCCTTGTCCTTGATGAAAAAGAAGCGAGGGTGAGTTTCAAGGAACACATGATTATCTTGAGATAAACAATGGGCAGAAACAAGATTTTTTGTGGCTTTAGGAGAATAAAGGACATCTTTTAGATGAAGATTGTGAGTGGGAGTACGAACATAAGCTTGACCAACATGAGTAATTTTCATACCTGACCCGTTTGGCATGTTCACTTGATCATGGCCATTGTACCTCTCCCTCATGGTGAGTTTGTCCAACTCGCCGGTGATGTGATCAGTGGTGCCGGTGTCAACGTACCAATTGGTGTTGACGCCATAGGATGAGTTGGCCACGGCGTTTGCATTCTTCTCCTTGGTGAATGCAATGTCAAAGCGCCGGTAGCACTCAATGGCCGTATGGTTTGGCTTCTTGCAGATCTGGCAGAACACCTCCGGGAGATCGTCGCGGCCGCCTCCTCCTGCATGGCCACACCCACCATGACCGTTGCCGTTGCCACGACCACCGTTGCCTCCGTTGCCACGGCCGCCAGCATGGCCACGGCCACCTCCATTCCTGCCGCGGCCTCCACGAGTGAAGCCACGGCCGCCGCGAGAAGCAGCGTTGG